TGGGATTAATGACAATTCTGTTCGATAACTCCGACAGAAGCTAGTGGGATTAATGACAATTCTGTTCGATAACTCCGACAGAAGCTAGTGGGATTAATGACAATTCTGTTCGATAACTCCGACAGAAGCTAGTGGGATTAATGACAATACTGTTCGATAACTCCGGCAGAAGCTAGTGGGATTAATGACAATACTGTTAGATAACTCCGGCAGAAGCTAGTGGGATTAATGACAATACTGTTAGATAACTCCGGCAGAAGCTAGTGGGATTAATGACAATAACGGAGTTATCTAACAGACAGAATCTAGTGGGATTGATGACAATACTGTTAGGTAACTCCGACAGAAGCTAGTGGGGGTTAATGACAATACTGTTAGATAACTCCGGCAGAAGCTAGTGGGGGTTAATGACAATACTGTTAGATAACTCCGGCAGAAGCTAGTGGGGGTTAATGACAATACTGTTAGATAACTCCGGCAGAAGCTAGTGGAGGTTAATGACAATACTGTTAGATAACTCCGGCAGAAGCTAGTGGAGGTTAATGGCAATACTGTTAGATAACTCTGGCAGAAGCTAGTGGGATTAATGACAATACTGTTGAATATTTTATATTTTTAACTTTCTTGGTTGATATAATATTAGGAATCCTGTAACTATTTCGTACATAAATACTTTAGAAAAATGTATTTAAGAAACCTATGGGTTAAGGTGATTTAAGGGTTAAGGGTTAACCTGGGTTAAGGTGATTTATATAATCACAAATCGAATGTTTCTACGTGTTTTAATGGTACGTTTTTCAAAACAATCTCCTCTTGAGGTCATCAATAGCAGACTTGCAAACTAAACTAACTCTGTGAGGCACCACTGGGCGTCGCCACTTGTGAATAGCGTATTGCTGAATGCCAAGAACCAACTTCTGCAGTAGTGACGTAACAAGTAGCCTCACACCCAAAGAGTGTCGACGTTAACTAAATAACATTTCTAAACTGTAATCCATATTCAGTGACATGCATTACTTCATACTGTACTGAAAAGAAAAAAAAAACAATAAAATTAATATTAACTACATGTGCTTGGGCAGAATCCCGGAAAATGTTCTGTTTCAAGAGCAAATAAAAAAACCAAAATTAAGAATAACAAATATTTGTATTTCTTGCTTTTGAACGTCATACTGTGTTGTAGCGTACAGAGTGCATGATTCTTCTCGTGATTCATGGCATGCGCACGTTTTACTGACGTCACGGAAGCACAAATTTCAACGTTAAGTGTCCCTTATGTGACGTCATTTTAGTTTCTAAAAATGTGGCTAAAACAGGTAACCTCTCCAGGCGATCTTCGGCCTCCTATCGGGGAAATTATTGTAAAATTTGTAAAATTTGATGGGCATTTGCCCTTAAAAGGCAAAATAAATTGCTTTATTTATAAGCATAATGGAATGATCTATAGGGTTTATATAAAAGTAGAAAGACATGTAAATGAAATTGTCACCTAGTGACAGGATTATGAATTAAGACACGGCCAAGCATATGAGCGGTGAATAAACTCGGCCAAATAAGGATGCTACTGCTTAGAAGGTAGTCCAATGCTATGTCGAAACATGTAGTATGGTCTTCCAAAAATAACGTATTCCATTATGCTTATAAATCGTTGTTTGCCAATGTATTATCATATTTACTTAATTGTTTTTCCAATCTCTTTATTTCTCGTTTTACTAAGCCTAATTTCTTATTTTAATGCAGGGTGCTTGCAAACTACATGCTATGGCGAGTCGTGTTGCAGTCGTTCGCCATGTTAAGTAAATCGTGGAGAGAACTGGTTCAGGACTACAACACTGTTATCACGGGTAAAACCAGGGAATCGCCTCGTTGGGAAAAGTGCATGGGAACGTTAACTGGTAGCTTAGGAGTGGCACTGGCATCGCTGTACGTTCGTAACCATTTTAAAGAAGAGAGCAAAGAATCGGTAGGTGGTGTAATTCTAACTTGTGAATTAAAATAACAACCCTCTTGGTGACGAATGAATTATTTTTAGTTTTAAATCTGGATTTTTTGGGGGGAGTTCGATACCATTTGTGGATACAGCACAAATAGCCCAATGTGTAGCTTGGTTTTTTAAAGACAAGTAAACAGAACCGTTTTAGCCCTCTTAAGGCAAAGCAGCAAATCTTACGACTTGTATAGCTATATATCGAGTTTCGATACCCGGTGAGGACACAGCACAGACAGTCCATTGTGTAGCTTTGTGCTTAACAACAAACAAACAGAAAAACTTAATATCAAAAAGTCCGGTTGAGAAGCATGCGTTAGCGATTTGGTTTTCACTGTAAGTCACCATAAATAAGGCAGGTTGAGACTCCTGCTGGGAAGTTTTAACTCAGCTTAGGGCGTCATAAACAAGTCGGGTTGAGACGCCTGCTGGGAAGTTTTAACTCAGCTTAAGGCGTCATAAACAAGTCGGGTTGAGACGCCTGCTGGGAAGTTTTAACTCAGCTTAAGGCGTCATAAACAAGTCGGGTTGAGACGCCTGCTGGGAAGTTTTAACTCAGCTTAAGGCGTCATAAACAAGTCGGGTTGAGACGCCTGTTAGAAAGTTTTAACTCAGCTTAGGGCGTCATAAACAAGTCGGGTTGAGACGCCTGTTAGAAAGTTTTATCTCAGCTTAGGGCGTCATAAACAAGTCAGGTTGAGACGCCTACAGTGGAGGTTTGGGTTAGTATGAAGCGTCATAAACAAGTCATGTTGGGATGCCTACGTTTCTTTAACACATTAATGGACCTGATCCTGTAGAAGACTCGGTGACGTAATAGAATTAAGGGTGTGTATGTGTGTGTGTGTGTGTGTGTGTGTGTGTCTATATATATATATTGCACATCTCTACGTCCCCCCCCCCCCGTTCCTCAATAGGGCAACGGTAAGTTCTCGGATTTACAACGTTCAAGTCCGGGGTTCGATTTCTTGCATTGGGAACAGCTGATAGTCCAGTGTGGCTTTATTCTAAAACTAACAAAAACTCTAACCTGCTGTTTCATTACCATTGTATTTTGTTATAAGATGCTTATTTAAAATAACCAAAAAAAAAGTACTTATTAACCATTATTAAACTGAGAAACTAAACAATCCATTAAAATTTTCTAATTTGTTTATAGTCACTTGAAATGGTCAACTATATCCACAAGGAATTCTTGAAGATTTTGGATGAAGTTGATTGGATGGATGACAAAACAAGAGAAAGAGCCAAAGAAAAGGTAATAACCAATCAAATTTGAGATAGTTAGAAAATGGAATACGTGCAAATAACGTCACTAGTGATTGAATTGATAAGATTCCTAATCAGTTTATAAAAAGGGGTTTAAAAAATTGGAGATGACATTAGGACTAATTTAATTTAAAATTTTGTAATATTTAGCTCCTCGATGGGGCTTATAACGCTAACAGTCGAGTTTCGATACTCGCGATGGGCAGAGAACTGATCGTGTAGCTTTACGGTTAACATCGAGCTGTAAACTTTAATGATAAATACCCTGTTAGAACTTAAGCGACATCTATTGACAAAGGTAATGAACAACGTTGAGACAAATAACATTTAAGTATACATAACAACGAAATATTTTCGACACTTACATTGATCTTGTCAGATTTGTTCTGTCTGATCCTGTTTGTTCTCCTCCGCGGTAGCCTCATATATGTTGTTTCATTTGTTTAGTTAAACACCTAAAAAAATATTTGTTGCAAAGCTATTTGTTTTTATCAATAGAGGTCGCTCGTGGCTGAAAACAAACTTTGATACTGCGAAAACGCTCTCCCTATTGAAATAAAAATGTCTTGATATCCCGCCCTTTTTTTTTTTAATAGTTGTGCATCTGCCTGCCTATGTAATGAAACACACATTTTTATTGTAGGCTGGTACTATTCAACCGTATATTGGCTATCCTGATGAACTACTGAACGTAGACAAGGTTGCAGACATTTACGAAAACGTAAGTTCCTTTTTCCTCTTATGTCAAGACGTTGTTAAATAATTGATTAAAATTATAGATTTTGTACTTTCTTCGTGTGATTTTAAAAGTTTAAAAAAATAAAAAGACTATACAATTTCCTTATCATTGATGTTGTTATACCTTCCTTCTGATTGTTAATAAATATTATTTCCGTAATGTGTTTTGTATTTTTAGTTGACTTTTTCGTCTGTTTTATTTCTTATTCTATCATGTTTTCTAAGCCTAACTGTGAAGTTTTGTGATTTCAGCTAACTCTGACTTCAAATGACTACTTCCAAAATGTTCAGAATCTGAGAGTCTGGTCCACAGATTACGCTTTTGGTCAGCTCCGGAAACCTAACAAGAAGGGAGAGTGAGTATTTTACTAACTCCAAAAATAAACAACAACAGCAACAACAAACTAAATTAAAACAAGCAATTTTATTTTTGTCGGAAAAATAATAATGAACTGACTAGGAAATGTTAAGAGTTGTACATGTGTTAATGGTTATTAAGTTTTAAATATCGATAAGTTAGTATACCCGGTCTGTAAATCCGAGGGTTCAATGTTCGCGTCCTGTTGCTAAGGAAAAAAAAAGGTGTTTCGTAATTTGGGACATAATGACGTTAAAATCTCTCTATTCGATGAGAGTAGCCCAAGAGTTGGCGGTGGGTGCTGTTGACTAGCTGCCTTACCTCTAGCCAAACAGTTTATGTGCAGATAGCTCCTGTGTAGATTTTCGCGAACATTCTATGATAAAAGCAAAAACATAATTCTTCTGGAAATGTAGTCAAGAGAACGCAAACGGGCTGCTTGACCATCAAAGAACGAACAATACGTGTTTATACCGTATGTAACGTTCTTTTAATATAAGACTCGTTTTATTCTATTTGTTGTGCTCTAAAGAAAATGTCATTTATGTGCTCAGTTACTAAAATTTCTAGCATAGAAAGAGCACAGGCGGAGGCAGCAAAAGCTACCCGCGATACCTGAGGGTAACAGATGTAAGAACACTAAGAATCAAATAGCCTATGATCGTTAACACGTATTTTCACGCTTTATTCAGGATTCTATGCTACTGTGATCGGTAGGGTGTTAATATACTAAGGGGTGGTTCGCAAATTTCGCCATTTTATTTAAAGCGTATACATAAAATTAATATTTTTTTAAACAGATATTATCGAACATTGATCATTATAAATAAGGTACTGGAAAACAAAAATAGCTTTTTAAGTACACAAAGTTTTTCAAAATTGCTGCTTTCCAGAGTACGTTTTGTACGCTCGTGAAAATAGCGAAAAATGCGAACGACCCCCTAAAGAAGCCACGTCTGGATAATAATGAAAAAAATAAATGTTTCTGTATCTCCTTTCTATGAAATTCTAACCCGTGTTTGCGAGTTGATTTTTGTGTCAGTACATTTTAAATTTTAGTACACGTGAGGCTAATTTATTTTCGTTTCTTTTCTCTAACAGCTGGAAAAAGCACGCTCGTGCAGCCGTTGTGAACGCTTACTATAATTCCCTGGAGAATAGTATTGGTACGTTACAGTATACATCATACAAATTAACGTATTTAGAATATGTATATAATATACCCATTATTCTGTTATTGTCGTTACCATTGTTATATTTATCATTGTTATTATAATCAACATTATTGTTATTCATTTTGTTTTTTGAAACACCTGAGCTCCAAAGCGCCCTCTATTGTCTTTATTTGTAGTGAAAGGTTTATTTCGTTTTTCAAGCAACCGGAAAAAAAGGGCCATGAAAGCAATTTGTAAATATTTCTCCCAAATCCTGAGTTACCATATGGAAGATTTTTTTACTGCAACGCGTGTATTGTTCAATGCTGGTAGGAAAAGACAAACCAGTAATTTTTGGTCTTGCATGGCCAGATGGTTAGGGCGCCGTGAGTCGCTGGTCCAACTTCCTGTCCCATCAGAAATGCTCGCCCTTTCAGCGGTGGAGGTGTTATAATGTGACGGTCAATGCCACTATTCGTTGATAGAAGAGCAACCCAAGAGTTTGCGGTGGGTGGTGATAACTAGTTGCCTTTCCTTTAGTCTTTCACTTCTAAATTAGGGACGGCTAGCTCGGATAGCCCTCATGTAGCTTTGTGCGAAGTTCGAAGTAAACAAATCAAACCAGTAATTTTTAAAGTTAGAAAACTACAGAAACTACAAATCGGTCAATAGATGGAGCCATGAGCTAAAAGTTTAAAGCTGAAAAGAAGAAAAAAAAATTCGGAGCCATTTTGCCGCGGCTAAAAATTACGTAGACTGCATTATTATTTTTTTGCCTACTTTCTTCTTAATTTGCCAGATCTCAGATGTCAGATCTGTGGCATTTCAGACTTATCTTTTACCTGTTGGAAGACACTGCCCAGGAGGCCGTTCAACTGGTTTTGATATTCCTACTACTAATTTGGCGGCTACAAAAATGTAACGCATGAATTACGCATTCCTTCATTAACACCCCCATTCCCAGTAGCACAGCGGTATGTCTGCGGACTTGCAACGTTAGAAACCGGGTTTCTATACCCGTGGTGAGCATAGCATGGATAACCCTTGTTTAGTTTTGTACTTAACTTCAAACAATGTTAATTGATTTGTTTAATATCTTTCCTAACGTTAAGTAATAACATAATTAATTTTTCTTTAAAAAAATGTATTTTAGTACTATCACATATTATTCTTTTTTTCTTTTTTTTAGCTTTTACACTTATGAAAATAATCTTGCATTAATATCTAGTATAGTAGGCCTAACCTAGAAATCTCGAGCTGGCTGAACTTTAAACGATATTATTAAGATAACGGCGGGAAATATCGTTAATAGCAACTATTGATTCAATAAATTATGATCATTGTAAGTTTTAATTTTTTATGCATTGAGTCTCAAATCTTGATAGTGGTAATTTTACGGACTTACAATGCTAAATTCGTGGGGTTCTAATCCCTGCGGTGTACACAGCAGATAGCCCAATGTGGCTTTGCTCTTAAACAAACAAATAAATCTAGTCGTTTTTCAGTTACGTTTTTCGACAAAGATCTAGTAAACAATAAAACCAAGAGCTTATGTTTCATTATAATCAATGTCAGCATTGGACTTAGCAGATATATATATATATATATAGTGTGTTTGACATATTGTTATGTTATGTAATTCCTAAGCCTAAAATTTATTCACAGAATTCCCTGCTGGAATCCTGCAAGGAGCGTTTTATGAAAAAGACAGACCAAAGTAAGATAGATGCATAATTTGTTCGTAAATAAGTTCATAAACGTACTTATTTATAGATGTCACCTATCCTGGAGTATTGACAATGTCTTATTCATTTATGTATACATCCGTATAAAAAACAAAACAAAAAAACAGCTGTCTGAAAGGAAAACAAAGGCCAAGATTTTTACAGCTGTAACTATTTTTGAAGTCCAATAAGAAATAAATAATGAAACTTCAATTCGTTTTGTTCATAAAATGTGACTATTCACCTTATTATTAACAAGATTATAGTAGTTTTAGAGACAGCTATGAAAAAGAAGGGGAGGGGGGTAACAAGTGAAAGAACTCCTGTCATCTAGTCGCAGGTGAACGTTCTTACAATCGGACATTTGACTGCCAGTTTCGTGTTTGTTTGTTTTTTTAATTCTTTTTATCTTCTTTCGTTAGCAAGGCGTTCCTCTTCAACTCAACTACTAATTAAAATTCCAACCAAATACTTGCCAGCAGCGGTGTAGTCCTGCGGGTTCTCAAAAAAAGCATCGACCCTCTCACTTCATGCCCGGAGGGGGGTAGGACGCCGAACCCAAAATTCAAATGTAGATTATTTCCCACGTTGCTTTTTTTTTATACATTCGAACGTAAATCAATAGTTTGTAATAATGTCTATAATATTGAACGATTTATATAAAGATTAAAGTTTCATCATTATACTAAAATTTATTGTCCTTACCAATGCTTTACGATAATATACTTCAATCAATAATATTCTGAATTTCTAGCTAATTAGTAAACACGATGGCTATACTAAATAAGCAGTTTGTTAAAAAAATAAAATAATTAGTAGTTCTTTAGGAGAGGGTAAGATAGCTTGTGGCGACCTCTCATTTCTAAATGTAGCACTACATCACTAGTTTCGGGTGAAGCGGTGTTGAAGCTGCAATATTGCGTATGGAAAAGTCTTAATTCTTGAAACTTAGGTGACAAAAAGATCGTATTTATGGTGACCTTAAAATCATTTTGGAATAGCACATAGCTAATTAATATAATATATTTCATATCGCTGCTTTTTATTTATTATTATTATTTACAAAAACAGAAATCTCTTATTTCAAAAATGCTTTCAACAGTAAAAATCTTGGCTGTTTTTCTGTCGGACGTCTGATTTTTTTTTTGAAATATTTTGTTAAATCAATGACATATATCAAATATATTTTAAGTTATCCTCTCATTCCCCCGGAGGGGGGGGGGTAGGTGTATGTAAGTATCAAGAAATTTCTTAAAATTATAAATTTAAGTTCGCTTTTAACAACTTTCTGAATGTTACATAGGTCTTTTGATTTTAGTTTGAAAATTTTTTTTTTAAACTTTCTTCTGATGTGTTTAAAATTAAATAGTATTACGAGATATTAAGTTCAACTTATGCTGTTAGAATTACAAAGAAATAACTCAAAATAACGTCTATAATGAATTAATTTTACGTCATGTTATTTTATTCTTAGTTACTTGAACTATGGAGCAATTGGATTTGTTATTGGTCACGAAATAACTCACGGATTCGACGATAGAGGTCAGTGTATTTCTTGTAACTTGCACTCGGGTTAATTTCATGTTCACGTCATAACTAACAACGGTTATCGTGCTTATTTTTCTATCTTTCTATATAAGAGCGATTGAGATGCTTGGTTATTTAATGCTATGTATTAAAACGTAGGTTGAAATAACTTCTAAGAAAACATCGTGTCAAAATTATTTGAATATTTCAAACTGATTTATGAATAATCTAGTTAACATAGCAAAGTCTCCTTTAGTTATGCGCCATGTTAGGCTTCGGAGTGGTTAATTTTCCATTTTAAATGGGGGGACATTAAAAATTGGCGAGTTCATCCCATCAAACAGGCTTGAAATATAATGTATTTTATTTTTACTTTCTGTAAAGCGTTAACAACACTTACATGGCTTGAGATAAGGGCTTTATTTGCGTGTATAGTAACAAGTCTGCTTACTATATTGTCTTGGCAGAGTTGACATCCCGTGTTTCTTACGTAGGTCGTCAGTTCGATAAAGACGGAAACAACGTGAACTGGTGGGAACCTGAGACGGACTTTAAGTTTAGGTCCAAAGCCAAGTGTATAATTGAGCAGTATGGTAACTACACCGTTCCGGAGAACGGACTACAGGTAATACAATGTTATTAGATTTATAGCAGTTTCTTCCGTACATCTGATTCTTTTTCTTTCTTATCACATTTTGAATCTATTCGAGACGGAAGTCTAAGAACTTGTATTGTTCTGTTATGATACTTAACGAGTTAACCCTCACCTCACGGGTCAAAGGCCATGTCATCTCGTATGTTTATGTCAATAAGTTTTATATCAAACTGTAGATTATGATTCAAATTTTAGTAATGCACATTATTTAATTTCTTAATTTAAAATAAATTTGAAAAAAACACTCCTAAACATTGATTCTTGTGTGTCACATGGTATGTTGTTTCAAATTAGATGTTTGTGATGTCAAAATACAAAGTCCATAGTTTAGTACGAATTAGGAACTTCAGTTACCGACATTGACAAGCTAGAATGTAAAATAAGAACCTCCTATATTTTCTATTTGTTGAGATATCGCTCACCTCTTTCAATTTGTGGAAACACTCTCTTATATACACTTACTTCTGTCTATGACATGTTGATAACCAATCGAAAGCTCAGAATGTCCCCCTAGTGGCTTTCTCAGCCATTTCCAAATATTACGACGTCATCTCATTCTTTCGATACAAAACTTCAAGCTGGTAAGCTGAGTCTTTAGTCTGCTCGAAACTTCATATTTTTTGTTCGACCCAAATACAACTTAGTTACTAAGCTTGATAAATTCTAGTAGAATTCTATGGTATTGATATAATAATTTATGATTTTTTTTTGGTTATATAAATTCTATATAATAAAAACCTAAAACATTATTTCGTTTCACATCCTTCACAAGCAAATTTTGTATAAGGCTTAGCAACCTATG